CCTTGTGTGTTACCCTGTAGACCTCTATGGGGCTTGTCTAGCTCTGTCTCCCAGCTGGGAGAAGCAGGGAGACGAGCCATTAACGGCCCATTCACACCTCCGTGCGTCAGCATGTAGCGCCTCCCCTACGCATTTCGTCCAATTGACTTTTTCTCAAGGTACCGCATATGCAATGATTATTTCACTCACTGATTTAATATAAAGAAAGTGACCACAAGGATTTCATCACATTCATTTTGGATCACCTAATTCTTGGGAATATTTCTATATGGACTATATATTAGTTGGAGTGAATATTTTGTATATATTAATTGTCACAAATTATATGCACTTAGAGGTTTATAGTAATGATTAGAGATGGCGCAGTGTCTTTTGTTTAATATAAGGTGTTGCAATGGCCCACTCAAAGTCCAGACCTCAACCCGATTGAAAAACCTTTAAAATAGCAATCAAATAATAAAAAAAATGTTTTGTCTGTTTCTGAATATAATAAATGCACCAATACTGATGTGAAGCTTGCATATCTGGCAAGTTTATACACATGAGAGATAGATAAATATTTCTGGAGTCTTTTCCTTTAGGCTGTATTTAGTAGGTTCAGATTTGCATTTTTATGTCTGTTGATAACAAGAAGAAAAAAAAGCTAAAAAGGGCTAAGGGCCTGTTCACACGACGTCCGTTTTCTGTGCTGACCTGATCCGTACGCTCCTGCACTAAGAATGCATCCCTATGTGTTTTATGGGCTACAGTTCTCACGTGCGCAGTCCGTTCAGGTTACGACAGAAAAAGGAAACGGCCCGGAAACGCAAAACGCACATGATGGAGACAAGTCTATACAATCCAATATATTTCATTACATCCTCCATGCCATTAAAGGGGTTCTAAACCCTCCGTTTTTTTTTGCCTATATCTACTGCTATCAAGCAGTAGATATAGGCAAAAAATTAAAAAAAACGTTTTGACAGCGGTTTAAACTTACCTCGTTATCGCTTCGCGCTCCCGTCCGAGAAAACGAAACTGCTCGGGTGGCCGCAAAGCATCTTGGGGCGGGCGCATTCGCAGTTTGGATTCCCGGCCGGGAGACGAGCAGAGACGCAAGGTAAGTCTATGGACGCGTGCACCCGCATGCAGACACCGTGGGACAGGAAGTGCATGCAAGCAGAGAGGAGTCAGCGCTGGATCGGACACACGCCGCACCGCTGGAGGGACAGATGAAAACATCAGGAAAGAAGATCGGATTAAGAGACATAATTTAAGGTAAGTGCTAACATTAACATTGGGGGGGGGGAAAATTATCCTTAATGTCACTTTAAGCAAGAAAATGCCCACCTACTCCAACTCTGTTACCATTCTAAGTCGAGCAAGGATGTCATACTGTCCTAACGAAATCTTCTATAATATGAAATAAGTTCATACATGTAGACCCCAGTAGTGAGTGTGATGCATGAAAGCTGAGCTTGGAGGAGGACATGTGAAATATCACAGGAGAATAAAATAAATTGATTTCTAAACCACACAGAAAAGTACATGATCAAGCAGAGCTTCAGTTGCCTATTAAGCTGACCACGCATATTACACATGTGATTGCACAATCTCCTTTAAGCTGACCATACACTATACAATCTCATTGTACAATGTCCTTAAAGAGGAACTGTAAAATTAATATTTAAAATGACGACAAAGGAGCCTTTAGAAAAGTTTAGTAATGACAATACAGATACTTCTAGATAATTGTCTGCTTTTTATTCTTTGCATACCTTATTTCTCTTTTCCTCCCCATTCTTCTCAAGGTAGCCATTTTTACAAAGGGCGGATGAATCCATCTCCTGTTACTTCTAGGAACTCTGGCACATGTCACTAGGACATGCCACCATGCACATCATCTCGGAGGGTGGGGGGAATGCCTTTCCCTAAGATCTCACAAGATTTTGCATACAGATGAGATTTTGCATACAGATGAGATTTTGCAGCAATGCTCTGCTGATGTAATCTTCCTAGGATGCATCTCTTAGACATGGGCTACATCACTAATCCCTGAGAGGACCAGGAAGAGGAAAATCTATAATTGTAAATAAAAGAAAAATATGTTTGTTTAGCTAATGAATGTAAGGTGATTTCATATCAGTGTGCAGAGCTGCACGTTGGTGTGATTTCTTTGTGAAAGGGGGCAAAGGTCAGTTTCTAAACAGACCCCTGATATTTCCCTTTTAAAAGAGATTGAGAACACAGAGTCCTCATTCCCTTTTTCTGTATCCCCTGTTTATAAATGAACAGGAATCCTCTATACTGAGTGTTCCTGTTCATTGATAACATGAGAACAGACCAGAATCGTGGAACAAATTAAGTTCGTGAACTGAGGTACCACTGTAATTGAGGACAGAGTTTGTTTACCATGTCCACAATCCTGAATGAACAGGATGTAATGTAGATCACTTCCCATTCATTCATAATTGGGGACACAGTAAACATACTCTGTCCTCAATTACAGTGGTGCCTCAGTTCACGAACTTAATTCGTTCCACGATTCTGGTCGCGAACCGAATCAAACTGCGATCAGACCGCAATTTCGACTAGGGGAAGCCACAACCATGTGTCAGAGCGGGGAAGATGGCTGTGATTTTGTTTGTCACCCGATGCAGAGTTCATGAACAAAATTTTGCCGAACTTCCTGTTCGTGAACCGAATTGTTCGCGAACAGAAGCATTCGTGAACCGAGGTACCACTGTATCTGCAAACAGTAGATGAGTGTTTGTACTCGCTCTCCATCCTGTGTCATTGAGAGAGCGGAGCTCAGCCTGCTGTGACAGCGCTGGCTGTCTCTGCCCAAGCTACTCTGCTCTGATCTGTGACAGGAGGCTGAGCGGAGACGCCGGCCGCTCACAGTGCTCTCCTCCCACAGCGCTCGGCCTCCTGTGACAGTTTCTCTCCTCCCCGCTTGGTCACAGACTAGCGGGGAGGAGAGAAAGAACAGGTGCACCGCTATATCGGCCAGAAAATGGCACTTTCGGCATTATGCCAAAAGTGCAATTTTCAGACGATATGTTTCGGCGGCCAATATATCGGTGCATCCCTAGTTTTAACCTCCTATCCACAAGAACGCAGTATAAGGGCCCGTATGACTGCTTACAAACTGAATAGATGGTTTACGTTAGTCTTTATATTACATAGTTTTGGTAAATGTAAAGTGTTTCTACAATCGGAATGTAACGCATATGGCTGCCCTTCAATTTTAACAGCAGCTATCAAGGGCAAGGGACTCCTGATTGGATACAAATTGATTGATTACATTTGATGCACACATTACAGTACAGTTTGGTTGTACAATCTCCTTTTAGCGCCAACAAAAACACATCCTACCCAAACAATCCATTTTGTGCCCAATAAGGCCAGCATTTGCACTACATAGGTAGTATTTAACCAGTTGAAGTCCGCGGTGTTAGACCCCCTTCCCATCCAGGCCATTTTTCAGTATTCAGCGTTGTGGTACATTGACTGACATTTATTCCGTCATGCAACGCTGTACTGAAATACATTTTATACAATTTTTTAGGGACAGATGGAGCTTTCTTTTGGTGGCATTTAATCACCACTGGGGGGGAGGTTTTTTTTTTGTTTTTTTTTTGTTTTTTTTTACTTTATTAAGGAAAAATTACCGAAATGTAAAAAACAAAAAAACTGTTCCCCCTATATGAAATGATAAAACATTTATTACCCAATTTTTTGGTAAAATATAAGAGACGGGGTCACGTCGGGTAAAAAGACACCAAACATGTCAAGCCTTAAAATTGTGTGCGCACGCGAAACCTCAAAAAACTATAATACCCAAAATTGGCCATAGGCGACGCTTTAAAAGCTTTTACCGCTCATCAGTTTAGTGTTATCAGTGATTGATGGCCTGAGAATGATTGCTCTCACTCCGACGTTCGCGGCGATATGTAACGTGTAGCGCAATTGTCGTTTTCGTGCGCTGGTGCACCGGATGCGTATTTATGTTTATATGTGCGTAAACGTGGGGGTGAGGGACTTAAGAATTTTTGGGGTTTTTTAAACTTTTTTTTATATGTGACTTATTTTTTTTAAACTTTTTTTTTTTATTTGTATATTTTTTTTTTTTACACTTATTGTTATTGCTATTATATGGGGGGATAACAATCCCCCTATATAATGGCAAAGGCACACTGACAGGTCCTCTTTATGGGTACATTAGGGGTCTCTAAGACCCCTAATGTCACCTGGGGACCCCAAAAGAAGCTGATGAAGCAGAGATCTGCTTCATCAGCTTCTTCTCTCTGGCTATAGCAGCCAGATGACTGACAGGTGAATGCGGAAGTAATGTAATACACATCACTTCTGCATTCACAGCCAGGAGGAAGATGCTGATCTCCCTCCCATCTTAGCTCCTGACACCCTCCCGAGCCGGTCTAGGGCCGCAGATGGGGCAGCGGATCCCGGGATTGACGGTGAAGGGTCAGGAGGGGGGGGGGGCGACATCAGCACTCGAGGAGGGGGCACGCAGCCAGCACATATACACGATCGGCAGGCTATAGAGCCGCCGATCGGGCATATGTGAAACAGCCGTTAACGGCTCTTTACATTGGACGGGTTTTTTCTGCGTGCGCGCTAGGGGGCAAGCGCGAGCAGAAAAAAATGCCGCCTGGAGTCGGCAACCCTCCAATGTGACTGTGCCGTCCGTCCGTTTTTTTTTTTTGCAAAGGGCAGATGGCAACTGGTTAAAGGTGATTGTACAATTTAGATTATAATGTGTATTGTTAGTGTTAGGTTCTTCCTGTGTATAGTTGTTGGTTTTTGTTATGCAGATTGTATAATCATGTTGTGACATCCGTGGACAGCTTCATCACTACCACTTTTTAGAAGAAAGATGTCTGAGAGAAACAAAACTAAAGTATGAAATCCTCATTATGTCAGACAGAAAAACACTGAATAGGGATAATTGTCTTTATTTTTTTCCTATAGGATGTCTACCAATACGGGAAGTAGCTGAAGTCCTGGACAAGGAGACTTTACAGAGACTGAAGAATGAATGTGGAGGCCTACAGACTCTACTCAGAAACAACCACCAAGTCTTTGAAGGTAATAGCTGGCAAAGTGAGCATATAGTATGGAGGGGTGGGGGAGGCAGTGCAGTAGGCACTGTTCCTATTTTTTGTTAAGGTTTTATGGCACTTGGAAATTGATGCTACATCCCATCTCTTCTACCTTTTTAAGCCCCATCCCATTCATTAAAGTGACACTAAACTCAGGTGTTAAATCTAAAAAAAACATTCAAGTACCTTAACTATTTAACAATAATGTATCTTATTTGTGTATCACTCGGCTGTAGATCCTCAAATCATCTCCGAATTGGTGCTGGCACTGTCCTTCCTTTTGGAGGGTGGCTACTTTGGTTCCCCGCGGTCCCTGTGTGTGTTGTAAAGTAGCCACCGCTCCAAGTTCACTCCCGTGATGGACTACACTCTCACATTTAGTTTACTCATTTGTATCGAGATTGTAGTCCATCATGGGAGTGAGCTTGGAGCGGTGACTACTTTACAACACACAGGAACCATGAGGAACAAAAGTAGCCAACAACTTTCATGGAGTGTACTTACTTTTTCACATGCCTGTCAATAGTTTATTGTCCATAGTTAGGGCACATGTGCACTTTAAGTCTTTAAAACAACCTTCAGCTTCAATTTAAGGTTAATAAACACAGATCTTAATGAGGATGCTCATAATATATAATCTATTTCAGCGGTGTATTGAGCTGGTTGCCTGGAGATACAACACGCTTTATTTCATTGTACTGTTAATCTTACCTGATGTATTTTGTTTCTTATTGAAGAGATTTAATCGTCTTTGTTTCTTCTCATTTCATATACAATAAGTAATATTCTAATTCTTGCCTTTTTGTAAGCCGCTAATACATGTGTGGGTTAGAATAAATTGCTGTTCTGACCTCAGCTTCATTCCGTTCTCCCAGGTAGACAGACCCTAAGGCTAAATGTAAACCATTTCCCCTCTCAGAGAAAACAGAAATACAATTTCTACCTTCATGTCAACTGCAGAGTAGGTTGAATATCATCTGTCTTTTGACTTGGAACAAATAGCTTTAGAGAATGATTTCGGTGCAGAGCTACAAAACTGCAATTGACAGATATAAATGATTACACTTGGAAGCGTCTCTCAATACATAATACTTTCTCGAATGTCAAGTTCCTGACTGTTGTTAAACCGTAACCCCGTTAATTATCTGAGGTATATATTCTGGTTCATCTAAAGGACAATACAGTTCTTGTAAGCTGGGTCTGTCTGCAATGCTCTTCCACCTTTGATGCTAATTTAATGTGATCATTTTTCTATTATAATTTAACATTTATCTGTTTTTGTTAAGTGTATAGTTTTGCCTATGTTTTAGGTACCCATAGCTTAATGTCCCAATGCTTTTCAATGGGAAAATTCTCCTTTTTTTTTTTCTATTCTGATATCGCTCGTGTCAGAATAAAGAAAAAAATACATGGCATTGTTTGTTTCTCTCCTGGGCGGCCGGGAGCGGAAGCAGCAGCAGAGCCGCCGGACAATAGAAAACTATTGGGGCGGAGCCAGCTGTCACTGCTAGCTCCGCACAATCATTTTCTATTTACTTTTTTTTACTTTTATTCACTCTTTTTCTGTTCTGGTCGGTCCCTCTGAGGGACCGAGCAGGACAGCCGAACCGAATGCCGCTTAGCGGCATTCGTCTATTCACTCACTGCTGTTCGGGATCTTTAAGAATAGCCCGAACAGCAGTGCGAAGCCTGCCGAAAGGTTCGGC